GAGAGAGAGAGAGAGAGAGAGAGAGAGAGAGAGAGAGAGAGAGAGAGAGGGCGAAGCCAAGAGCAAAGGAGAGACTGAGTAAACGAAAAAGGCATCGAGAGCGTGGAAACAATTCGCACACGCTCGCGCACGCGCACGCACACACATACAGACGCACGCACAAACACACACCAGGGTTTGGACTAGACAGTCTGCTAGGATTGCAGGATTGCTGACAACCACTTCTCTCAAGAGTATCGCTAACTGTGCGTGCGGCGGTGTGTCCGGATACATGCACGCGGCACAGACTTTTCCAGATTCAATGGTCCTCATGACCTTTCGGTGGAAGTCCGACGAAACGATCTATCACGGTCATGCTTTTTTGTGAGGAGCTGTCCTTGGCGAGCATTACAGCGGACACAGAGAGAGAGAGAGAGAGAGAGAGAGAGAGAGAGAGAGAGAGAGAGAGAGAAAGAGAGAAAGGTTGGGCGTGAGGAAGGGAAGGACGGAGGAGAGACGGGGGAACGAGGGGGAGAGGGGTGCAAGGAGGGAAAGCTAAGAAAGCACGAAAACGAATCAGCACGTACGAGACATCAAGTACGCCAAAACGACGATGAGGAATAACACCACCGCTGCCCGATGCTTCGCTTCCTCCAGGAGATCGTGGGAAGATCGACCCGGCCCGAATATAATGGGCCATAAAACCTTTCGCGCTTTTTCCCAAATCCGTCCATCTCGGACAGACACGGGAATCCATAGCGAAATATTTGAAATATGAGACATACCCCCAAGTCCCAGGGGTTCCGATTTAGTTTGTGGCCCCTTCTGCGCTTGTGGCCCCTTATGAGCTCCCCGACCTGCCATACCCGTAATTGCGACCTTTCTGCGATCCCCAGCGGCGAGTGTTCTCACGGAAGCGGAAGCCGCCGTCCTGCAGATAGCACCCAGACTCTTTCCGCCAGCAACGGCCGATCGCGCGCCCCACGAGCGCGCGGATGCCGACGCAGCGCGCCGCCCTCGACCGTGAGAGTCCCGCGCAATGCAACCCGCGGGCTTCAGCTCCTCTCCTCCGCCCTCTACGGCGGATCCGCTGCCCTCTTCCCCCATTGGTGATGACTGCTCTTCCTCTGGCACAATCTCTCCTGTCCGCTCGCCCACACACTCTGCCAGCTTCGCAGGCTTGCTCCCGCCGTCATCTTCGAGAGCAATGCGGACCCGTCGACGCATGTTAACATCGTTCTCTATCACAATTGCCCCCACGCTGACCGTCAGATAGAAGAAGTGAACGACCACTCAGATCAAGTTCAACGCAAACATGAGGGAGGGAAAGGAGACACAAAAAGAGACACACAGAGAGGCACACAAGGAGCCAGAGAGAGACTATGTATGCGTCTCTGCCAGCTTCGCAGACGTGCTCCCGCCGTCGTCTTCGAGTGCAATTCGGACCCGTCGACGCATGTTAACATTGTTCTCTATCACAATTGCACCCACGCTGACAGTCAGATAGAAGAAGTGAATGACCACTCAGATCAAGTTCAACGCGAACATGGAGGGAGAGGAGACACAAAAAGAGAGACACAGAGAGGCACACAAGAAGGAGACAGAGAGAGACTATGTCTGCGTGTACGTTGGAAGAGAGAGAGCGAAAGAGAGAAAGACAGAGACCGTGTACGTGTGTGCGCGAAAGAGAGAGAGGGACGGGGGGAAAGAGAGAGAGAGACAGACAGACTGCGTGTACGTCTGTGTGCGAAAGACAGAGAGAGAGGGGGTGGTGAGAGAGTGACAGACAGACTACGTGTGTGTGCTTGCGTGTGTGCGTGTGTACGTGTGTGTGTGTTGTGTGTGTGTGTGTGTGTGTGCGCGTGTAAGTGCGCCTTCAGAGGACATTAGATGCTATCTAAGGGGCAGATCCGACTACTGTAATCTACTGGGTTTCACGGGATCTGGGGCTAGGTCCCACTTGCACGAATTAAAGAGATACTGACCGTAGATAGCAAAGATCAACGGCCGAAATCTCCTAATCGGCGCAAGTGGGACCTTGCCCCCGACTACTTTCCGAGTTTGCAGGCCTTCCCGTCGAGTTCGGGAGGTAATGAAAACACAGGTGAAATTGAGAGAAGACAAAAAAAAAAAAAACTTCTCCG